CAAGCATAGCTTCCCAAAATCGTTCATCTTTTCCACCTCTTTCACTTGAAGTTTCATTAAAATATGTTTCACTCTGAGGTATGTATAGAGTTCCCTGTTAGGAAGATTATATTTAATTTGTATATCTGGGAATTGATGTAGATCAGTGCCTGTTATTAGATGTCGAGTTTTTGTTATCCCTTTATTTCTCCATGTTGTTACATTTAAACCTTTTGTATAGTAAGTTAAACTTTGCAAGGTTGCATAATAGAGATAATTGCCTTTCCCCAGGAGTTTAGGGGCCCAGTGCCTCCACATCTGCAGAGAAATTTGTGTTGTGGATAGGAAATTGTAATTTATAGGATGAACACAATGTGTTCTCTAAATGAGATCTAATATCTCATATTGTAGAAATATGGATTGTTCCAATATATGCCAATATATGCCAATATATGGTATAATAGACATATCTCTTAATGCTGCTGTTTGTGCCAATATAGATGCTATGTAATATTTTTGAATATATGCGGTACTCCCATCCCACCCTCTGTCATTTTGCAGCTTATTGTGTTTAATGATATCCTTGGGGGTTTATGTTTCCATATATGAGCATTTACTGTTGTCTGAAAGTTTGTTATAATTGATTTTGGATCATTATTGGTATGGATCTAAAAAGAAATACTATCTGTGGTACTATGCACATTTTAACGGAATTAATCTGTCCCGCCCATGATGTTGTGCTCTTATCCCAGCGCTTTAATGTATCTTGTACTTCTCGTAGCAGTTTGCTATGGTTATTTTTGATCATTTCCTGTTTTGAAAATGAAAGCTGTATACCAAGATATTTTATAGAGTTTTTTCTCCATTCAAATTGGTATTCATCTTTCAACCTTTGAACAGTCGACTCTTGCGTATTAATAGGTAAATATTATTTTTATAATACAACACTGTGCCATATTCCATCAGTAGATCCAGCGGCATTATTGCTTTATATGGATTTGTTAATATTTACCAGGACATCGTCTGCAAATAAGGTCACTTTTTTAGGTCCCTTGTGTGTATTTAACACTGTTATTTGATCTTGTTGATTTATTTTATATGCTAGGGGTTCAAAGGTCATGATAAAAATTAATGGAGAGAGGGGGCAGCCCTGTCTCATACCATTAGAGAGACAGATCTTATGTGACACAAAACCTGAGTTTATAACTCTAGCTGTTGGGTTTGAATATAGGGAGAGCATGCTTTGTTGGAATTTATCTAGCACATTCTCCATATATTGCCAGTGTAGGCGATCAAACACCTTTTCCACGTCTAGTGCCATCAAGAATCCCTCTGTTTTTGTCTTTTCATTATTTCCAGAATATCTATAAATCTATTGTCCCCCACCTGTCTGCTTGGCACAAAACCTGCTTGTTCTGCCCCTATCAATTTGGGCAGTAATGGTTTCAATCTTAGTGCCATTACCTTTGCAAACAAATTTATATCTGCGTTAAGCAGAGATATAGGTCTTAGGTTGGCAAAGCTAGTAGGTGGTTTGCCTGGTTTTGGCAATGTAATTATGTTAGCTTCCAACATTTCTGGGTGTACCTCACCTGAATCTAGAATGCTGTTAAAACGTTTTGTGAGGTTTGGGGTCAATTCCTTTGCAAATTTAAAATAATAATAGTTAGAAAACCCATCTGGGCCTGGTGCTTTATGTTTTGATGTTGTTGTTATAGCTTCCCAGACCTCCTCCTCTGTAAAAGGTTTGTTCAGAACCTTAGAAAAGTGGAAATCATATTTAATGTGGGTTGGGTTGGGTTTAAATACTCCCTTAAATTATATAAATATTCATAATATGATGCTAATTCATTAGAAATTTGATTTGGGTCTATCTATTGAGCCCCTTTTGAGTTTACCAAATATGGGAGTTAACTTGGGACGCCAATAGTTTGCCCACTTTATTTTCCTGTGTGTAATATTTAAATTTAGATTTTCTCAAAATGCGTTCCGTTACCTGTAATTCCAAGTTTTCTAGTTGTTTTTTAAGTTTAACAAATTTATTTCGTAAACAATCATTTTGTGTTTGTTTATATTGTTCCTCTGTTTCTCTTATAGATTTGAGAAGTTTTTTCTGTTCATCTCCAAATTTATTTTTTGCCCTTGCGGCCTGTTTTATAAGTATTCCCCTCACTGTGGCCTTATAACCATATAATTGCTATAAAGGCATCAATATTAACCCCTTAAGGACACAACTTCTGGAATAAAAGGAAATCATAACAGAATATTTCTGTCATGTGTCCTTAAGGGGTTAATATTTTCTTGAAAGAACTGATTAATTGTATTCCTAATCTCTATTTCTCCCTTTTTTTTTGTCTAATAAAGCCTTGTTCAAGCGCCATGAACACTTGCCTCTTGCCTGATAGGAAGTAGCAAATATGAAGCATACTGGGCCGTGTTATTGGATCTATAGTTACCTTCACTAGAGACTGGAGTGTAGATGCATCTGTCAAACACATATCCATCCTTGAGTAGTTTAGATGCACCTCTGAATAGAAAGTATAATCTCTAAATTGAGGGTATTTAGCCCTCCATGTATCATATAGACCATGAGTTATCATAAATTTTGCTAATTTAGCACTTAAGGCAACCTTTGTCGCAGATGGTATCTCATATACTGAAACATCAACCTCTGGATCCAACGTACAATTGTAGCCTCTGCAAACAAATCATTTGCCTTGTTTATATTTCTCAATGCGTTTTATCACTTTCTGTAAAAAGCTTATTTGGTTGCTATTTGGTGTATATATGTTTGCTATTGTTACCTTTTCCTCACATAAGGAACCCACCGGAATAAGTAACATGCATGATAACTGATCGGGTATCTAGGCGAGGTGAGAGCTGGGGGTCTCTGAGCGCTAAAATGTGTTTCTTGCAAGCACTTAACCACAGCCTGTGATTTGCGCAGTTGCTGGAACAGCAGTCTTGCTCTTATGGGGAATATTGAGGCCATTCTCGTTAAATGTTAGGATATTGAAATAGTGAGCCATTAGAGTTAAATTAACATAATGTATCACTATTTGCCCTTGTTCCTAACTCTATAACTCTATAAGTGCTGTGTTTACTCTATTTGACCATTAGAGATCCTGTAGTTTAATGTTTTTCTTATTTACATACTTTTCTAAGAAGCTACTAATTGAAAAAAAATCCCATATATCCATAAATACCCCAAACCAAAACTAAAAAAAAGTATACTTTAAAAAAAAAAGAAAGAAAATTAGACAAATCATCTTAATCTTGCAGATTAGCCCTGCAAAAAAAAAACATTGGTGGTTGATTACTATTAACCCCTTTGGGGTATAGCCACCTAATTTAGGAGGTGATTGAAATTGAAATGCGGGAAACAAGCCATCTCCTGCTGAAATATTCATATAACTCTGCCTGGCTTTTAAATCTATAGCATAGTTATTATATATATGTAACAACAAAAAAAGTTTCCTTTCTTTCTCTTCTCTTTTTCCACTCTTTGGGGCGGAGTCAGAGGAAGGAAAGGTGAGATTTTTTTTTTCACACAACCTGATTTGTAGCGAACACTGGCCTTTAAGTGTTTTGCCATATTTTAAGTTCAATTCATAGCCTTTATCTAGTTTTTACAGTTCAACCATAAAATAACTATCTCCGCTTCTATTCTTTTCTTCATGTGGTCACCTAATTTGCCTTGCGTACTGTCGTCCATTCTGGTAGCATTTTTTTCATGGGCGATCTGCCCTCCATTTCTGATGGAGTTCCTAGTAGACCCCATTTATGTAGTAAGAACAAACAGAGATATAAGGATGCGCCTAAAACTTGATTAAATAAAAGACTAAGACTATTTGACCATAAGAGATCCTGTAGTTTAATGTTTTTCTTATTTACATACTTTTCTAAGAAGCTACTAATTGAAAAAAAATTAGTCAGATAAAATACAGAATAAAATAAGTAATAAAACAATAGTCCAATAAAATAGGCTTATCACAGTCCGTGAGGGTAGGTCCCACTTGTAAAGGAATATTCTTTAGGGTGTAGATGGGATCGTATCTTCAAATGTTGAGAATTCAGCATATGTGGAGAGAAAAATAAAAACAGGACTCCAATGGCACAGTAAATCGGTGTATAAAATAAATATAAAAGTATAAAATCAGTCTTACTCACACTTTTCAGAGCTAGGATCAGCTCTGATATTGCTCGCGTAAAGTGGAATAATCCCCACTTCAAGGATATATGGAGTAAATTTTGATAGTTGAATATCTGACGTGGGTTCAGCGTTCAATTTGACGTAATACGACACAGAGGAAAAAATTAAATAAAATATATAGTGCTCACTGTATGTAATAAAATTAAAAGAAAGTAAAGTATACTACTCACGTAAAGTAGAGCAGACTCAAAACTGCTCAGTGAAGGTGCTCGGGTGGTATAATCCCCATCTATGGATTCTTTGCACTTCCTGCAGGGTGAGCCGTATACGTAAAATCAATAAAAGAAAATGTATGTAAAATCAGGTAAAGGAGAAAGCAAATGGCAATAAAGTATTTTATGCCAATAAAATATCTTTATTATAAAATTAAGAACAAAATCTATTAATATCTAAACGCGTTTCGCCTTAACAGGCTTCTTCAAGTAGATAGTAGTATTTGTAATCCTTCTTCTGGGTCTTCTATTTTCGTCATAGTTCCGTTTCTCCAGATCAGCAATTTAGTTGGGAAACCCCATCTATAGGCCATGTTGTTCAATCTCTTGGTAACACTTAAAAAATCTCTTCTTCTAGCCATAGTCATAGCAGATAAGTCTGCAAACAATAAAATATGTGAGTATGCTACCGGCATTATTGTAGCCCTTCTTTGAGTGGATAGAATCATCTCTTTTGTTCTGAAGTAATGTAACCTCACCACAATGTCTCTTGGAACATCTGTGGTAAAAGTTTTTAGGCTTTGGTACCCTGTGTGATCTATCAAACCGCAAGTCTTCTTTAGTAAGAGTGGAAACGATTGCCTTGAACATATCTACTAAGTAAAGTGGAATATCTGCCCCTGGACTTTTTCAGGCACATTTCTGACTCTGATATTGTTGCACCTAGATCTATCCTCTATATCTGCCATTTTTTCCTGGAGTTGTTGATAGTCTGCTTCCATTTTGTTAAGTTTTTCCCTCATTTTGTTATTATTTTCACATAGCTCATCCATTTTTTCTTCCAGGGTAGATGTTCTCGTGCCCAACTCCTTACGGATTTCTTCTGATATTTTTCTAAAATCTAGCTGTAATGATGTTCTCAGAGTGGAGAGCATGTCTGCCAACCTTTTTGCTGTCAGGGAGAGATCTTCTACAGTTTCTCCTAAAATTTGTGTGGAATCTGAATCAGAACCCACTTCAGAATGATGTGAGGGAGATATCGCACTGCCTCCACCTCCATGATCTGGTCTCCCTTTTTCTCTCTTGTTTGTTTTAAAGAACTCATGCTGTCTCTGTGATTTCGGTGGCACCATCTGGTGGCTGTATAGGTGGTGCAACTATGCTCCTGTTTTCATCCTATATCATTTTTTATTTTCTCTATTATTCTTTTTCCTCTCTCTTCCTGTGAGGTTGTGAGACAGCTGCTTTTTTATTCAATTATCTACAGATATTTTTTTTTCCTTTTTCTTTTCTCCCCTCCTCTCCCTCTCCTTTCCTTTTTCCCTTTTCCTTTCCCTTTTCTCTTCTCCCCCTTTTATTTTTCTTTTTATTTCCTTCTCCTTTCCTTCTTTTCCCTTTTTCCTTTCTTTTTCTTTGCTTTGCGGTGATGTGTTGTACTATTTTATTATGATATGTAGTTGTAGTCTGGTGAATTTGAATTCTCTGTTCACTTCTTTTTCCTCACCAATCTCTTCAAATCACTTTGAATTACATAGTTACATAGTTACATAGCTGAAAAGAGACTTGCGTCCATCAAGTTCAGCCTTCCTCACATTTGTTTTTTGCTGTTGATCCAAAAGAAGGCAAAAAACCCAGTTTGAAGCACAATTTTGCAACAGGCTAGGAAAAAAATTCCTTCTTGACCCCAGAATGGCAGTCAGATTTATCCTTGGATCAAGCAGTTATTGAAAGATTATATCCTTGAATATTCTGTTTTTGCAAGTATACATCTAGTAGCTGTTTGAACATCTGTATGATCTCTGATAAAACCACTTCTTCAGGCAGAGAATTCCACATCCTTATTGTTCTGACAGTAAAAAAAACCCTTTCCTTTGCCTTAGACAAAATCTTCTTTCTTCCAGTCTAAACGCATGACCTCGTGTCCTATGTAAAGTCCGGTTTGTCATTTTAAGTCATATTGAGTATCTGTGAATCACTTACATCACTTTAAATAGCGTTAAATCACTTTATATCACTTTACATCGCTTCGAATCGCTTCAGATCACATCAAATCAATACTATGCCTTTGCTGCAACACTTTGAATCACTTTTAAATCACTTTAAATAACTTTGAAACACTTTGAAAAACTTTGGAGCACTTTAAAACACTTTGCAGCACCTTGCAGCACGTTGCAGCTCTTTGCAGCACTTTGTAGCCCTCTTCGGCGCTTTGCATCACTTTGCAACACTTTGGAGCATTTGAGGCCCTCTAAATACTTTTAAGGCATTTTGAAATATTTTGAAGCAGTTTGAAACACTTTAGAGCACTTTAAACCACTTTTATATTGCTTTGTTTCACTTTCAATCCCTTTATATCGCTTGTATCACTTTGTATCACTCTATATCACTTTGTATCATTTCATCACTCTGTATCACTTTTATCATTTTGTATCACTTTATATAATTTATATCACTTTGAAACCCTTTGAAACAGTTTGAAAAAGTCACTACACATCTCTTCAAAACACTTTAACACATTTCTGCACCTTTTGCTGCAACACCTCTACTCCTGTATTTCTTTTCCCTTCCCCACTCCTCTTTTTTGAAAGAAAAGAAATCTTGGATGTTTTAAGTTGTGAAATCCCACCTCACTTCTGTGCAGAGGCACCATAGTGACTTGGTGCTATGCAGCGCACTGTGAGGTAATGTCAAGTTGGCGTCGCAATGTAGTCTCAATGTGGTTGCCGTGGTACCCATATTCCCCCAATATGATGTAATTTGCAATGCCGTGGTTATACCTTGATTATGCCTTATAATGCCGTACAGTGTTGTGCATTCATTCTGCTTAATGCTGCTCTTTCCTTTTTTTTTGTTGCTGTTTTACTTTTGACTGTAGCGCCTCTCTATATCAGTCTCTAATTTCCTCCTGCTGCCCTCTCCTCATTATGCCTCATAGTAGTTCTGTAGCAACTCTGTGACAGCTCCGTTACCTCGGGTTATTCGGACGGCTTGGAAGGCTAAAAAGCTTTTCAGAACGTCCGGCCTTTTTTTGGTAGTTTTTCTGGCTTTTTTGCCGATACGGGGTGGATATCTACATGCAGCGTCTACGTGCCTGCAGCAGCCACACAAATCCACTCCATGACTCCGGAAGTCAATTTTATAAAGGTATTATGTATGCTGCACAGTTTTCATTTTATTTCAATATTCCTTATAATTCGACTGTTATCCAGTAATATATGATGAGAATATTTATAGCCATGAATGAGCACACACACACGCGCACACACACACAGACACCTACAGGAAGAAGTGCTGTAAACTCAGACTAGGGGGAGATTAACACATGGTTTTGTTAGATCAATACATTTAAAAATGAAAACAGGAGTTGCATCATGCTTATTCGTATTGCATTTGATTTTATTATTGGTGTAGAGGGAAACGAAGGCCAAACTAAAAAAAAAAAAATGAAATACAATATATAAACTGACAGAGTAAGGTAGAATTTAATTATAAATTGTGTCATTTTTAGTCTAGTGTTAAAGAAGCAGTAAAGCAGAACAGACAGATTTGTTGCAAAGTGACATTTTCTACAATGTTTCAAACGTATTGAGAATTTAGTAGACCTTTGAGATTACCCATATTTTAAACTAAAGCTTATTGTCTGAATGGATCAGCATTTAAATTATGTAATTTGTTTTCTGTAATGTCTTGTGGGATTGAATTTAATATTTAGCCACATTTCCCACACTTTCCTAAATCTCTTCAATTTCCCCCCTGATAAACTGTCAGTTTTTCCCTTGACATAAGCCTCAAGATCTTAGCTTCCATTTCATTCATAGATGATATATTTATTTTCCTATTTCCCAGTAACAGTGAATCCCTGGGCACACATGTTTCAAGAGATGACTTGCGGCTCAAATACTTGTGTTCATTTTTCCCCTTTTTAAAATTTATTTGAACATTACAACTTAATATCTTCATTTTTATAGTACCTGATTCCCCATGCAAAGGCTAGGAAGTTGGTTAAGGGGGGGTAGATCCACTGTCATGTGACACAGGGGTAATTCTCCCCAGAATTGTCATTATTTTTTGGCTATTGTGTGCAGTGATGTAATTTTAACCAAAGACAAGTTGGTGATATAGGTATCTGATGTTTCTACTGCTCCTATTAAAGTAGTTGCAAAACAAGTGTTCAATGAAAGCGGCTCAACCTCAGTTTGCAATACAGATTTACATAATTATTCTGGCTACCAGAAAGTAACTTTATGTACTGGTGTCTTCCCATGAAGAAATATCTGGCAGTTTTCTAAGATACCTGTGCTGGTGAATACCTAATGCTCCTAAACATTCCATTAAACTCCAAGGATAATATCTTCAAATGCAAAGGTATGGGTATAGCCCATTACCCCACCAAAGCTGTTCAAAGAAAAACCTTTATTATTGACTGGCTTGAGCATTTTTCCCATGTTGGATACCAAATATATTGACACTTTACTAGTCTTTTAAAAAAAAACTATTAGGACCAAATTAAAACTTACTCAAATGGTTGATGCACAAAGCCCTCTTTGTATAGACCACCCTGACAACAACATTTTACCCATATCTTTAATCAAACATACTAATGTCCCTATGGTGCTTTTTGACACTATCCCATTAACTCAAGACATATCACTATCACACTTTGCTTGATAATGATAATATTTGTTCTTGGATGTTTCGTTGACCCTTTGTTTATATTGATTTAACATGATAAACAATCTCAGTAGAGAGTAAAATATATTTTTTTTTTACTATGTCTGTTACATGTTCCCATCTGATATGTATTGTTTATTTAGCCATTTCTGGCCTACAAAATACAAATGGATTATATAAGATGAGATTCTTTTTCTAAAAAAAAATAAAAATAAAATTAAAAAAAGTTGATGCAACTTATAAATGGATTTCTCCTGCAGGAAAAACAAACTAGATATTGGTTTTAAAGAAATGCATTTTTATGTATTAAACCAATCTGTACCATTGAGGAAGAGAAACACACATGAGACCAAATCAAGATTTTTAAGAAACTGTTTGAGGAAGTTTATTAAATGGCCACCAGTCACTGTAATTTTATTAAAATAACAATCTTCTCAGTGATGTAAACACAATCTCACAAGAAGCACAAACTCAAAGACTAAATCTAGGCTCTATTCGGTTCACTTTTTTATGGGAAATAATTTGAACATTATACTCTTACTAAAGTATATCCATTTTATGCTTGTGATATTGAGAATCACTTTTTATGATATACTGATGTTACTGTACATACTCCTTTCTATTTACATACGCTAACAATTTTAGTATCACTCCAGTGGCCATGAAAGTGTAGACTCGCCTGCCCAGTCAAGGCAAGACCTCCTAGGTGAGTTCTACACTAACTATTCACCTTGCTGTTTTTAACTAAAAGGTAAAATCGCTAATGAGAGAGGGGCATTTTTCTAACCCCCTTTACACCTATTAACCCTTACTAGGGAACACATAGGGTGGGCGTCCGCACTGTATGTTGGCTCTGTAATACAAAAGCAAATACAAACATACAATTAGTGGGTAGTTTGAGCGAAAGGGCTTAATTTTGAATGTTTGTTCTCAATTATTAAATATTTATTTTACCTTTTTTTGCCATTGTCAAGCACCTCCCAATTACCATTTGATTTGGAGCCACTTCTATATTATTTAATCCCAACACCCTTTTCCACCTTCTAGTTTGATTGTCTCCTTTCCCAGTTTCCATTCCCATCTGGGCACAACTTTAGATTGCATTACCTCAGCTATCCTCTAGAATGTAAACTTGTTTGAGGAGAGCCCTAAACACCCTCTGTTCCTGTGCATCCAACTTGTCTTGTTTCAAATACAAGTCCATTAGTACACCTATTGTACAGTGCTACAAAATTTGTTGGGCTTTATTAATAATACTACTGGTTATATTTTGATCTCTATGTTATTTAGCATGATAACACATTGCAGCTGCACTATCCTAACTTCTTTATCTCTGTTCGTCCTTTGCCTATCTCCAAACTCCTAATCTCAGATCTAACATTTGAATGAAGTGTAGATATTTGATGTGACAAAACCCATATTTCTTTGTCCCAGTTATTTTTCCCTGCATTCGGTAGATCAA